AAAAAAAAGACCAATCTTCCCGTGCATCGCGTCCCTTCGTCCGGACGCAATCTTTTCTCCACATTCATGATTTAATTTCCATCCCGCAATAAGATGGATAAATGCTAAAATTAAGAGTAAAAATAAGACACCTATTTTTTCACTTAAATGAATTCTAGGTTTAAATATAAGAACATTATGTTTTACTGTAAATCGAATTGTAAGAGAAATGAGAAGCAAAAATCGCAACGGGAATTTTAAGAAAGTCAAAATCACAAAATTACAAAAAAAAATTACAATGCTGATCCATACCTACTTAACCTAACGAGAATTATAGCGCAGATAAATTTGGCAAGTCCTCTGTGATGTAAACCTTAAAGATCCTGCTCTGTCTGTATCTCGGCGGCTGCTTGTCGTTCCAGTTGCTCCAGGTTTCAGGTTGGGAAGCCTTGCTTTTTTCGATCTCCATTGCGTTGATTTCAAGCGGTATCTTTGCTTATTTACCTTACTTTTCATGATTCCTAGATAGAAAATTCAATTTTTTTTTTTTGTCCCTGCAAGTGAATGCAATTATAACGAGAATATGTCTGCTTTAAATTTAAGAATCTTCAAGCATAAGCAATGTTGCCCCTTGATTTAGTTCTATTTTCATCGTCTTAGTTCAGTTCGATTTTCGAAATTTTATAGTTTTTCAATCCCTTCCGCCATTGTTGTTGGAGGTTTTATCCGGAGTCTGGGTTATGGCCGGCAGATGTTTGCATGCCATTGAAAATGAAAGGGATCGGTTTCCACTCCCCTTCACTGGCCTGAACCTTTCTTGGTGCATTGAGGACTGCTTTTACCCTAATGGTGGATTGTTTGCGAGTATTGGTCACACCGGTTCAGGATTTGGTATTTCTTCAAGCCCGTCAAACTCTAGTAATAATAGTGTGGGAATTCCATTTTCTGATCCCTTTCCCAAGTACGCAGCTCCTCCTCCTTTGAATTGTAGGATTCCTCTCGAGCAACAAGACACAGTATTCGGTGCAGCTGACGGTGCTGTGGTAACTAAGGCAAAGATCAAGGAGAAGGATGTCCTCAAAATCAGAGTTAAAGTGCGGGATCCTTCTCTTAGGAGCTTTATTAGTGGGGGAGTTGCAGGGGCTGTTTCCCGAACTATGGTTGCCCCCTTGGAGACAATCAGAACTCACTTGATGGTAGGGAGTAATGGCAACTCGACTATTGAAGTTTTCCAAAGTATTTTAAGGAATGAAGGATGGAAGGGTTTGTTTCGTGGAAATTTTGTTAATGTTATTCGAGTTGCTCCAAGCAAGGCCATAGAGGTAAAACTGATTTTTTGATGTTCATGTATTTGTTTATCTTGTTTTTTTTGTCTTCCCATTTTTTTTATTTGGCCTGCTTTTTGTTAATCATTCTACTTCTTATGGCACAAGCATGTGGTATATTTGTAGAAAAATATGTGTATGTTTGTTGTTCTTTATTTGGTGTTTAAATGCTAGTTTTTTGAGAACTTGTTGAAGGTGGAGTTAAATTCTAAATATTTTTAACTTGGGTGCATGTTGAGTTTATTCTGTTCTTTAACTTATTGCAATTTATTGATTGTGCTTTCCCTTTTCTTTTTTTT